TTACCTCAGATGAGGTAACTTTACCTCAGATGAGGTAACTTTACCTCGGGGAGGTAACATCACCTCAGGTGAGTTTACTTTACCTCAGATGAGGTAACTTTACCTCAGGTAGAGGTAACTTTACCTCGGGGAGGTAACATCACCTCAGGTAAATGTAACATTATTTGAGGTAATCCTAACGTATTCACATCACTTCAGCTAATGCTCATATCGTAATATTAGCGTTATATTCTCACGTGGTTAAATCGTTAAACACAATGCTCGCGTGATTATTACCTCAGGGTTAGATAATCGGAATGCAATGGAAGGTGAGGTAACTTTACCTCAGGTAGAGGTAACATTATCTCAGGTGAGGTAACTTTACCTCAGGTGAGGTAACGTTACCTCAGGTGAAGCAACTTTATCTCAGATAGAGGTAACATTACCTCAGGTAGAGGTAACATTACCTCAGGTGAGGTAACTTTACCCCAGGAAGAGGTAACTTTACCTCAGGTGAAGTAACTTTACCTCAGGTAGAGGTAACTTTACCTCAGGTGGAGGTAACATTACCTCAGATAGAGGTAACATTACCCCAGGTAGAGGTAACTTTACCTCAGATAGAGGTAACTTTACCTCAGGTAGAGGTAACATTACCCCAGGTAGAGGTAACTTTACCTCAGGTAGAGGTAACTTTACCTCAGATAGAGGTAACTTTACCTCAGGTAGAGGTAACTTTACCTCAGATAGAGGTAACTTTACCTCAGGTAGAGGTAACTTTACCTCAGGTAGAGGTAACTTTACCTCAGGTAGAGGTAACTTTACCTCAGGTGGAGGTAACATTACCTCAGGTAGAGGTAACTTTACCTCAGGTAGAGGTAACTTTACCTCAGGTGAGGTAACTTTACCTCAGATAGAGGTAACTTTACCTCAGGTAGAGGTAACTTTACCTCAGATAGAGGTAACTTTACCTCAGGTAGAGGTAACATTACCTCATATAGAGGTAACATTACCTCAGGTAGAGGTAACGTTACCTCAGATGGAGGTAACTTTACCTCATATAGAGGTAACATTACCTCAGGTGAGGTAACATTACCTCAGATAGAGGTAACTTTACCTCAGGTAGAGGTAACATTACCTCAGATAGAGGTAACTTTACCTCAGGTAGAGGTAACATTACCTCATATAGAGGTAACTTTACCCCAGGTAGAGGTAACTTTACCTCAGATAGAGGTAACTTTACCTCAGGTGAGGTAACTTTACCTCAGGTAGAGGTAACTTTACCTCAGATAGAGGTAACTTTACCTCAGGTAGAGGTAACTTTACCTCAGGTAGAGGTAACGTTGTGTCAAAGTAACCCTCACGTAGTGCAGGCCGCGTGCCACTGCAATCGTTAAACACCAACGCTCGCGTGACGTCACCACCTCACTTCACGCGGCAGCCTCGAAGTGCACCCAGCCTGGCACAGGCGCCGTGGGGACGTCACCGTCACTGAGTGGCCAATGGCGGTGGTTGGTGGTGGGGGGGAGTGGGGGGGGGTAACGGGGGTGGGAGGGGTGGGGGGTAACGGGGGAGTGGGGGGGGCGAGACGCGTGACGTCACCACGCAGTGACGTCATCAGAGTTTTTAAGTTAATTTTTTTTTATTCTGGAGGAATCCGATGAGCTGTGAAGCTCTTTATTATCCACAGACGTCCACAGTAGGTGCACGGGGTCAGAACGCCACAACAACAAACACAATACAATAAACACCATGGGAGTGCAGAGTATAGGAAAGGTAGGCACGTGACCAACACAAATCTGTAGGGGCGTGTGAATTGAAGTCTGTGGGGGCATGTGAATTGAAATCTGTAGGGGCGTGTGAAGTGAAGTCTGTAGGGGCGTGTGAATTGAAGTCTGTAGGGGCGTGTGAATTGAAGTCTGTAGCGGCGTGTGAAGTGAAGTCTGTAGGGGCGTGTGAAGTGAAGTCTGTAGGGGCGTGTGAATTGAAGTCTGTAGGACAGTGTGATGTGAAGTCTGTAGGGGCGTGTGAAGTGAAGTCTGTAGGGGCGTGTGAATTGAAGTCTGTAGGGGCGTGTGAATTGAAGTCTGTAGCGGCGTGTGAAGTGAAGTCTGTAGGGGCGTGTGAATTGAAATCTGTAGGACAGTGTGATGTGAAGACTGTAGGGGCGTGTGAAGTGAAGTCTGTAGGGGCGTGTGAATTGAAGTCTGTAGCGGCGTGTGAAGTGAAGTCTGTAGGGGCGTGTGAATTGAAATCTGTAGGACAGTGTGATGTGTAAGTTTGTTGGGTCATAGTTTTACCATCCTTGACGTGCAGGGATGACGACTAGGATCGGTGTTGTTAGGATCAGCGGCGAGCAGTTGTGACCAGGTGCTGCTGTGTGTAACGATTACAGATGACAGTGAGGGGGAAAAAAGCATTTGATCCCCTGCTGATTTTGTACGTTTGCCCACTGACAAAATAAATGATCAGTCTATAATTTTAAGGTTAGGTTTATTTGAACAGCGAGAGACAGAATAACAACAAGAAAATCCAGAAAAACGCGAGTTTAAGAGCCGGGAGCCAACAACAGCTTGGGGCTCACAATGGCTACAGCGACTATTGGAACGGTCGATGCGGCCTCTGCGTTGAACAGCAGGAGACAACGGGTACAGTCTGGTTCCGCTACAACGCCGCGTGTTAGTTCTAACGACGCCAACTGGATGACGTAACGCCGTGAATGTATCGTAAGGGGATACACGCCGTCCGTAACGCGGACGCGGCTTGGATGCGACGCGACCGAGCGAACGGAACTACGTCTCAACGCGAGCAGGAATAAGCGGTTCTACGTGCGGCTGCCCTCGGCGTAGCGGCGTCGCAACGAAGAGGAGGCGTTGGGATGCTGCTGGATGCTTCTAGACGCTACCCAAGCACCTCGGTCTTAGTCCCGCCTCTGTCTTGCCCATCATCTCGCGTGTTATCGCGGACCACGCTTCACCCCCCCCCCCCACCCCCCCTATAGTTTATATTATTTCTCCACAACGCGGTTGTTCTTCAGGAACGCAACAACCACCGCCGCGTTGCAGGAGAACGACGGACCGTGAACGCGCTTCGACGATTCGCGGCAACGCGACGGCAACACATAGCGCCACGCGCGGTCTCTCGCGACCGGCGGTATCTGCGACGAAGGTTTTTGTCGTCGTTGCCGCCGGGTTAGATGGCATTGGATCACAATCCTGGCACGTCGCCCGATGAAGCCGGTCGCCGTTGTTTGTAATCGCCGGCGAAACGTCACCGGTACTCGAATTGTAAACGCTGTGGTGGGTTCACTCTCCCCGACACACAAGCGCCGTGTGTGCTGAAGTTGGTAACCAATTGGCACGTTTCGTTTACGTGACAAACCCTGACTGATTGGCCGTGTCAGGCGATGGTGGTGGGTGACGGTGGGTTAACGACACAATGTTTATGTTTACGAGATCTCTAACCCAACAACAACAACAACAAAGAACAAACCTCTGTCACGGAAAAGTGTCACCACAGAGCAAGTCCCCTGGGACCTCCTGGAGACACTGACACAGAGCAAGTCGCTCCCACCTCCTGGAGACACTGACACAGAGCAAGTCGCTCCCACCTCCTGGAGACACTGACACAGAGCAAGTCACTCCCACCTCCTGGAGACACCGGCACGGGCTGTGTGAGCTGGGCTGCCTTCACAACCAACGAGACGCCGGCGCTGCCAACTGGGACCAAGACGTCAGCGCTGCCTCCACCGGTCCGGTGAGGTCATTCTCAACAGCAGGTTTTTGTTTTTTTACTTCACTTTACTTTTCCAGGTAAGGCCCCCACTGAGCTGTGTGGTAGCGACCTGCCTATCACAAATGACGGCGGCGCACCGAAGTGGCTTGTCACGTGACATTTACAGCAGGCAAATACTCTGAACGCATGTTGAGATGTTAACCACCTCTCCTGGTATACAGGAGATCGTTGGTTCGATTCCGACCCTGACGCCTGCTGTATATTTTGAGTTTGCGCATCTCTCTCTCTCTCTCCCCGTGGTCGTGTGGATTTTTCTCCAGGTCCTCCGGTTTTTCCCCTCGACATTTAGAATCGAGATCACGCAATCAGAGTATCTGGCCGCTATCAATGTCCACGCAATGATGAGCCACTTCGTTGAGCTTTCATTTGTGATGGCCAGGTGGTCGCGTCTGATAAAAGAGCCTCTACATATTCTGTTGGACCTAGATAATACCAAGATAATTTTTGTTAGTTTAAGTAAGTATATAATTTTAAACAGAATCACAAACTAATGCTCAACTTTCTTAACCGTGTAAGAGTCAACGCGCGCCACCAGCGTGCGACGACACGCGAGCAACTGGGACGATGCAGAGAATCTCTCAACACTTTCCAGCGTCCGAGACATCCGCAGAGTTACAGGGTGGGTGTCACGGTTCATTGGGTGGGCGTCGCCGTTCACAGGGTGGGTGTCACCGTTCACGGGGTGGGCGTTGCCGTTCACAGGGTGGGCGTCGCCGTTCACGGGGTGGGCGTCGCCGTTCACGGGATGGGCGTCGCCGTTCACGGGGTGGGCGTCGCCGTTCACGGGGTGGGCGTCGCCGTTCACGGGGTGGGCGTCGCCGTTCACGGGGTGAGCGTCGCCGTTCACGGGGTGGGCGTCGCCGTTCACGGGTGGGCGTCGCCGTTCACGGGGTGGGCGTCGCCGTTCACGGGGTGGGCGTCGCCGTTCACGGGGTGGGCGTCGCCGTTCACGGGGTGGGCGTCGCCGTTCACGGGGTGGGTGTAACCGTTCACGGGGTGGGTGTCACCAGTCCCAGGGTGTCACCGTTCACGGGGTGGGCGTCGCCGTTCACGGGGTGGGCGTCGCCGTTCACGGGGTGGGCGTCGCCGTTCACGGGGTGGGTGTCGCCATTCACGGGGTGGGCGTCACCCTTCACAGGGTGGGCGTCACCGTTCACGGGGTGGGCGTCACCGTTCACGGGGTGGGTGTCGCCGTTCACCGCAGAATCCCACGAATTGAGCGAGCGGCTGCTGCTGTTGTTGTTATCAAGACGTCGTTGCTCACCGCAGAGAAGCGTAGCGACGCGACCGCCGCCACTCTGCGCTAGCCGGCGCCAAAACTGGGCCACGCTCCCTGCCCCGCGTGGCCCTGTGGGAGCCTCGCTACCGATAAAGTTACTTTAGTTCTCACTGCGTTTCGTTGTGACGACGACGACGTTCACACACTGCGAGCGGAGTCGTCGCAACGGCAAAGAGTGAAGTTCACGCCGGGAACATTTTCAACGGGGGAGGCAGCAGCAACAACACGCAGGGTGATCCAAGTGCAGATGCCCCACTCATGCCTACACCCCCCCAAACGCCATCTCAGAATATTTTTTTTCAGACCGCAGGAATCCGATGAGCTATGAAGCTCTTCTCCGCAGATCTCCAGCCGTTCCACAGATGTCCTCTCCTACCAACTCCCCACCCCCCCACCTCCTCCCCGCAGCTTTCCTCTCAGCAGCAAAGTGAATATCGCGCAAACGATGGCTCGGGGCTACGGGACTGAGTGCACGGAGATTCGTGAGCGGACGCCGCCTTCGTCATCGGCCGCGGTTCGGCCTACCGCTGGATGGGTACGCACTGTACGTACTGTACGTACGTCGCACGGGGCAGGGCTACGAGACGGCACGCGGTGCTCACGGAGACCGGCGGGAGACGTGCAGACTGGGGTATCTGTAGGTGGATCGCCCTGCGGTGCCCCCCTCTAGGGTAACAACAGTGCAGCTCTGCACGAGGGACTCTGCACACTCACACACACAGGGACCCCCAGGTGGTGGGGGTGGGGGACGTGCAGTGGTTGGTACCGAGAACTCCGCACTTGCAATCGAGGGGTGGCCGGGTCGGTTTAATCTCCCGCCCCCCACAGGGTGTGAGGCAGGTGTAGGAGGATTCCGTAGGTTTCCGTGTTCACATTCAAAATCACTTTCAAGAGTGGCACAGCCTCGGCTAATCACGTGGCCTGTTGTTTGAAACTAATTCACAGCTCGGCGCTGTGCGCTTTGTGCTCAGGATGGCTGACTTTTCTGTTTCCACGGGAATGAGAAAATACATTCTGGCCGTTGTGTGTTCTCTGGTGCCTGTGAAGTGTTGATGGCCGTGCAAACGCCTTCTCACACACGGTGCACTTGAACGGTTTCTCTCCCGTGTGTGTTCTCTGGTGGCTGTGAAGACTGGATGGGTCTGCAAACGCCTTCTCACACACGGTGCACTTGAACGGCTTCTCTCCCGTGTGTGTTCTCTGGTGGCTGTGAAGTGTTGATGGCCGTGCAAACGCCTTCTCACACACGGTGCACTTGAACGGCTTCTCTCCCGTGTGTGTTCTCTGGTGGCTGTGAAGAGTTGATGGCCGTTCAAACGCCTTCTCACACACGGTGCACGTGAACGGCTTCTCTCCCGTGTGTGTTCTCTGGTGACTGTGAAGAGCTGATAGCCATGCAAACGCCTTCTCACACACGGTGCACTTGAACGGCTTCTCTCCCGTGTGTGTTCTCTGGTGCCTGTGAAGATCTGGTAGTTGTGCAAACGCCTTCTCACACACGGTGCACTTGAACGGCTTCTCTCCCGTGTGTGTTCTCTGGTGGCTGTGAAGAGTTGATAGCCGTGCAAACGCCTTCTCACACACGGTGCACGTGAACGGCTTCTCTCCCGTGTGTGTTCTCTGGTGGCTGTGAAGAGCTGATAGCCATGCAAAACGCCTTCTCACACACGGTGCACTTGAACGGCTTCTCTCCCGTGTGTGTTCTCTGGTGCCTGTGAAGATCTGGTAGTTGTGCAAACGCCTTCTCACACACGGTGCACTTGAACGGCTTCTCTCCCGTGTGTGTTCTCTGGTGGCTGTGAAGAGTTGATAGCCGTGCAAACGCCTTCTCACACACGGTGCACGTGAACGGCTTCTCTCCCGTGTGTGTTCTCTGGTGGCTGTGAAGAGCTGATAGCCATGCAAACGCCTTCTCACACACGGTGCACTTGAACGGCTTCTCTCCCGTGTGTGTTCTCTGGTGCCTGTGAAGATCTGGTAGTTGTGCAAACGCCTTCTCACACACGGTGCACTTGAACGGCTTCTCTCCCGTGTGTGTTCTCTGGTGCCTGTGAAGGTGTTGTAGATGTGCAAACGCCTTCTCACACACGGTGCACTTGAACGGCTTCTCTCCCGTGTGTGTTCTCTGGTGCCTGTGAAGGTGTGATAGCCGTGCAAACGCCTTCTCACACACGGTGCACTTGAACGGTTTCTCTCCCGTGTGTGTTCTCTGGTGTATCTTCAAGCGATTATTGTAGTTTGTGCTGAATGGACATTGGTCACACTGATGAGTTTTGTTACTGGCCTTAGTGGGGTGTCTCCTCTGCACGTGATGCTCTAGACTAGAGCGGCAGATGAACTGACGGTTGCAGGCAGGACACGGCAGCCTTGTGACCTCCACACCCACTCCACCTGCGTCATCCCAGAGGCACAAGACGCATACACCAACACCTAGACATGAACACTCTTGAACACGTGTGTGTGTACATATAAAGGTAAAGGTCCCCAACAGCCATATCAGACTATTGGGGCAAGTGCTGTTTGCGAGTACCTATGAAGGCCGGCATGGCACACGAGGGAGTAGGTGGCCAACACCAGGCCCGGCCGCTTTTGTCTCTCCAGTGGCGATGTTTCCACGTTTAAGCTAGGTATTCATTTGAGGCTGAGTCAACCTAGGGGAGGCCTAAACATTCACCACTGACTTTGACCGTGAGTGGGAATCGAACTCAGGTGGCCGGGTTCGTAGTGCAGTGGGCTCCATTCTATATACACACACAAAGACAAAGAACCCCCGTCTAGCCTGTATACACTTTTGGGACAAGTGTTGTTATCGGGCACCGATGAAGGCCAGCACGGCACACGAGTGGGAGGGTGGCCAGCACCACACATGGCCGCCTTTGTCTTCTCAGTGGCGATGTTTACTACTACACACCACACCAGTTACTAACTTGCACCTTATCAGTGTGGGTGGTGCCTATAATCTCTGGTGAGCAGTGGCTATCATCTCTGGTGAGTGGTGGCTATAGTCTGGTGAGCAGTGGCTATCATCTCTGGCGAGTGATGGCTATCATCTCTGGTGAGCGTTGGCTATCATCTCTGGTGATTGGTGGCTATCGTCTCTGGTGAGTGGTGGCTATCATCCCTGGTGAGTGGTGACTATCATCTCTGGTGAGTGGTGGCTATCATTGCTGGTGAGTGGTGGCTATCATCTCTGGTGAGTGGTGGCTATTATCTCTGGTGAGTGGTGGCTATCATCTCTGGTGAGTGGTGGCTATCATTGCTGGTGAGTGGTGGCTATTATCTCTGGTGAGTGGTGGCTATCATTGCTGGTGAGTGGTGGCTATCATCTCTGGTGAGTGGTGGCTATTATCTCTGGTGAGTGGTGGCTATCATCTCTGGTGAGTGGTGGCTATCATTGCTGGTGAGTGGTGGCTATCATCTCTGGTGAGTGGTGGCTATCATCTCTGGTGAGCAGGGGCTATCATCTCTGGTGAGTGGTGGCTATCATCTCTGGTGAGTGGTGGCTATCATCTCTGGTGAGTGGTATCTATCATCTCTGGTGAGTGGTGGCTATCATCTCTGGTGAGTGGTGGCTATCATGTCTGGTGAGTGGTGGCTATCATCTCTGGTGAGTGGTGGCTATCATCTCTGGTGAGTGGTGGCTATCATCTTTGGTGAGTGGTGGCTGTCATCTCTGGTGAGTGTTGGCTATCATATCTGGTGAGTGGTGGCTATCATCTCTGATGAGTGGTGGCTATCAGCTCTGGTGAGGTGGCTATTATTTCTGGTGAGTGGTGGCTATCATCTCTGGTGAGTGGTGGCTATCATCTCTGGTGAGTGGTGGCTATCATCTCTGGTGAGTGGTGGCTATCATCTTTGGTGAGTGGTGGTTATCATCTCTGGTGAGTGGTGGCTATCATCTCTGTTGAGTGGTGGCTATCATCTCTGGTGAGTGATGGCTATCATCTATGGTGTGTGGTGGCTATCATCTCTGCTGAGCGGTGGCTATCATCTCTGGTGAGTGGTTGCTGTCATCTCTGGTGAGCGGAAGCTATCATCTCTGGTGAGTGGTGGCTATCATTGCTGGTGAGTGGTGGCTATCATCTCTGGTGAGTGGTGGCTATCATCTCCGGTGAGTGGTGGCTATCATCTCTGGTGAGTGGTGGCTATCATCTCTGGTGAGCGGTAGCTATCATCTCTGGTGAGTGGTGGCTATCATTGCTGGTGAGTGGTGGCTATAATCTCTGGTGAGTGGTGGCTATCATCTCTGGTGAGTGGTGGCTATCATGTCTGGTGAGTGGTGGCTATCATCTCTGGTGAGTGGTGGCTATCATCTCTGGTGAGTGGTGGCTATCATCTCTGGTGAGTGGTGGCTATCATGTCTGGTGAGTGGTGGCTATCATTGCTGGTGAGTGGTGGCTATCATCTCTGGTGAGTGGTGGCTATCATCTCTGGTGAGTGGTGGCTATCATCTCTGGTGAGCAGGGGCTATCATCTCTGGTGAGTGGTGGCTATCATCTCTGGTGAGTGGTGGCTATCATCTCTGGTGAGTGGTAGCTATCATCTCTGGTGAGTGGTGGCTATCATCTCTGGTGAGTGGTGGCTATCATGTCTGGTGAGTGGTGGCTATCATCTCTGGTGAGTGGTGGCTATCATCTCTGGTGAGTGGTGGCTATCATCTTTGGTGAGTGGTGGTTATCATCTCTGGTGAGTGGTGGCTATCATCTCTGTTGAGTGGTGGCTATCATCTCTGGTGAGTGATGGCTATCATCTATGGTGTGTGGTGGCTATCATCTCTGCTGAGCGGTGGCTATCATCTCTGGTGAGTGGTTGCTGTCATCTCTGGTGAGCGGAAGCTATCATCTCTGGTGAGTGGTGGCTATCATTGCTGGTGAGTGGTGGCTATCATCTCTGGTGAGTGGTGGCTATCATCTCTGGTGAGTGGTGGCTATCATCTCTGGTGAGTGGTGGCTATCATCTCTGGTGAGCGGTAGCTATCATCTCTGGTGAGTGGTGGCTATCATTGCTGGTGAGTGGTGGCTATATAATCTCTGGTGAGTGGTGGCTATCATCTCTGGTGAGTGGTGGCTATCATGTCTGGTGAGTGGTGGCTATCATCTCTGGTGAGTGGTGGCTATCATCTCTGGTGAGTGGTGGCTATCATCTTTGGTGAGTGGTGGCTATCATGTCTGGTGAGTGGTGGCTATCATTGCTGGTGAGTGGTGGCTATCATCTCTGGTGAGTGGTGGCTATCATCTCTGGTGAGTGGTGGCTATCATCTCTGGTGAGTGGTAGCTATCATCTCTGGTGAGTGGTGGCTATCATCTCTGGTGAGTGGTGGCTATCATGTCTGGTGAGTGGTGGCTATCATCTCTGGTGAGTGGTGGCTATCATCTCTGGTGAGTGGTGGCTATCATCTTTGGTGAGTGGTGGCTGTCATCTCTGGTGAGTGTTGGCTATCATCTCTGATGAGTGGTGGCTATCAGCTCTGGTGAGGTGGCTATTATTTCTGGTGAGTGGTGGCTATCATCTCTGGTGAGTGGTGGCTATCATCTCTGGTGAGTGGTGGCTATCATCTCTGGTGAGTGGTGGCTATCATCTTTGGTGAGTGGTGGTTATCATCTCTGGTGAGTGGTGGCTATCATCTCTGTTGAGTGGTGGCTATCATCTCTGCTGAGCGGTGGCTATCATCTCTGGTGAGTGGTTGCTGTCATCTCTGGTGAGCGGAAGCTATCATCTCTGGTGAGTGGTGGCTATCATCTCTGGTGAGTGGTGGCTATCATCTCTGGTGAGTGGTGGCTATCATCTCGGTGAGTGGTGGCTATCATCTCTGGTGAGTGGTGGCTATCATCTCTGGTGAGCGGTAGGCTATCATCGCTCTGGTGAGTGGTGGCTATCATTGCTGGTGAGTGGTGGCCTATAATCTCTGGGAGTGGTGGCTATCATTCTCTGGTGATTGGTGGTATCATGTCTGTGATTGGTGGCTATCATCCTCTGGTTGAGTGGTGCTATCATTCTCTGGTGGAGTGGTGGCATCATTGCTGGTGAGTCGGTGGTATAATCTCTGAGTGAGTGGTGGCTATCATCTTGGGTTTGAGTGGTGGCTCTCATGATAGTGAGTGGTGGCTATCACTCTGGTGAGTGGTGGTATCATCTCTGGTGAGTGGTGGGCTGCTCATCTTTGGTGAGTGGTGGCTATCATCTTGCGTGGTGGTGGCTTATCATCTCTGGTGAGGTGGCTATTATTTATTGGTGAGTGGTGGCTATAATCTCTTGTGAGGTGGTGGCTATCATTCTACTGAGTGAGTGGTGGTTCACCATGGTGTGTGGTGGCTATACATCTCTGCTGAGCGGTGGCTATCATCCTATGGTGAGTGGTTGCTGTCATCCTGGTGAGCGGAAGCTATAATCCCTCTGGTGAGTGGTGGCTATCATTGCTGGTGAGTGGTGGCTATCATCTCTGTGAGTGGTGGCGTATCATCTTCGGTGATGTGGTGGTTATCATCTGCTGGTGAGGGTGGCTATCATCTCTGGTGAGCGGTAGCTATCATCTCTGGTGAGTGGTGGCTATCATTGCTGGTGAGTGGTGGCTATAATCTCTGGTGAGTGGTGGCTATCATCTCTGGTGAGTGGTGGCTATCATGTCTGGTGAGTGGTGGCTATCATCTCTGGTGAGTGGTGGCTATCATCTCTGGTGAGTGGTGGCTATCATCTTTGGTGAGTGGTGGCTATCATGTCTGGTGAGTGGTGGCTATCATTGCTGGTGAGTGGTGGCTATCATCTCTGGTGAGTGGTGGCTATCATCTCTGGTGAGTGGTGGCTATCATCTCTGGTGAGTGGTAGCTATCATCTCTGGTGAGTGGTGGCTATCATCTCTGGTGAGTGGTGGCTATCATGTCTGGTGAGTGGTGGCTATCATCTCTGGTGAGTGGTGGCTATCATCTCTGGTGAGTGGTGGCTATCATCTTTGGTGAGTGGTGGCTGTCATCTCTGGTGAGTGTTGGCTATCATCTCTGATGAGTGGTGGCTATCAGCTCTGGTGAGGTGGCTATTATTTCTGGTGAGTGGTGGCTATCATCTCTGGTGAGTGGTGGCTATCATCTCTGGTGAGTGGTGGCTATCATCTCTGGTGAGTGGTGGCTATCATCTTTGGTGAGTGGTGGTTATCATCTCTGGTGAGTG